TAGTAAATAATTAAATTTTAAATATTATTATTATTAAATATTAAAAATATTTCTGGAAAAAAAGGGGGATAACAAATAGGTAAGTGATTTCCAGAGTATGAGTAAAGAGATGGCTTAACTGTAAATGGACAACACAGGGGAATTTTTTAAGGGTGATGGAACTGCTTTGTATTTTGATTGTGACAGTGTACATGATCATGCATTTGCTTAAACTCATGGGACTGTCTATCAAAAAAGTCAGTTTTACTGAAGGTAAATTTTAAAATCATTACATATGTGACTCAGGAAGAAAAGCCAAGAGAGTTAACACTCCCCTCCCCCCCCAAAAAAAAAGAAGTCTTATTGAAGTTCTAATCAAATGGGAAAATGTATACTATGTTCTTCAATAGCATTTATTTTTACTTTAATTTTTGAGACAGGGTCTCACTGTGTTGTCCAGGCTGACCTCTAATGTGTTGTTTTTTGTGTGTGTATGGGGGGTGGTGGTGCTGGGGATTGAACCCAGAGGGCCTTGTGCATGTGAGTCAAGTACTCTACCTACTGAGCTGTATCTCCACCCCAGTGTTTTGTTTTGTTTTGTTTTGTGTGTGTGTATTGTGGATTGAACCCAGGAGGGCTTAACCACTGAGCCACATCCCCAGCTCTTTTTATTTTTTATTTTGAGATAGGGTCTCACTAAGTTGCTTAGGGCCTTGCTAAATTGCTGAGGCTGGCTTTGAAATTGTAATCTTCCAGCCTCAGCCTCCCAGTTAGGATTACAGGTTTGTGCCACTGCACGTGGCCAGCATTGCTTTTTTTGCTCAGGATTGCTTTGGCTATTCTGGGTCTTTGTTGTTCTGTATGAATTTTAGGATTGTTTTTTCTAGTTCTGTGAAAAGTATCATTGGCATTTTGGTGGAAATCGTATTGAATAACTTTGATAATATGGTCATTTTCACAATACTAATTTTGCCTGTCCATGAACATTGGAGATCTTTCATCTTCTGGTGTCTTCTTTGATTTCTTTCTTTAGTGGTCTATAATTTTCATTAGAGAAGTCTTTTAACTCCTTGGTTAGGTTTATTGCTATGTTTTTTCCCTTTTGGTTCTGAGTTTTGAGCCCAGGAGTGCTTTGCCACTGAAGCTACATCCCCAGCCCCCCGCCCCTTTTAATTGAGACAGATCTTGCTGAGTTTCCAAGGTCAGCCTGGAACTTGTGATCCTCCTCCTTAGCCTCCCAGGTTGCTAGGATTACAGGTATGCATCACTACACCTGGCTCCTAGATATCTTTTTTTGAAACTATTGTGAATGGAATTGTTTTCCTGCTTTCTTTTTCAGTGGATTCATTATTGGTGTGTAGAAAAGCTATTGATTTTTTTTTTTGTGTGTGTGTGTGGTCTAGGGATTGAACCCAGGGCCTTGTGCGTTCGAGGCAAGCACTCTACCAACTTAACCCCTAGTCCCTAGCTATTGATTTTTGTATGTTGATTTTTGTATTCTGCTTCTTTTCTTAATTTTTCAAAATCGGCTCTAAAAGTCTTTGGTAGAACCAGTAGGATATTCTAAGTATAGGAACTTATCATCTGCAAATAGGGATAATTTGATTTCTTCCTTTCCTATTTCTATCTCTTTTTATTTCTTTCTCGTATCTAATGGCTCAGGTTAAGATTTCAACTACTATTTGAATAGGAGTGGTAAGAGTGGATGTCCTCATCGTGCTTCTGAGTTTGGAGGAAATGCTTTCAGTTTTTTCACATTCAGTATGATATTGGCTTTGGATTTGTCATATATATCCTTTATGATATTGATGTGAGTTCCTTCTATCCCTAGTTTTTCCAGGGTTTTTATCATGAAAGGATACTGCATTGTCCTTGGTTCTATTTATGTGGTGTATAACATTTATTAACTTGCATATATTGAACCAGCCTTGCATCCCTGGGATGAAACCAGTCATGGTGTCTGATGATCATGTATCATTGAATTCAATTTGCTAATAATTTTCAGTCTATGTTCAATGATACTGGTCTGTAGTTTTCTTGAAGTGTGCTTTTTCAGTTTTGGTATCAGGGTGATATAGGTGTTGTTTGGGGTGTGGAAACATTCCTTCCCTTTCACTTTCATGGAGTAACTTGATGAGTATTGGTATTTGTTCTATTTAAAGAAATGGTAAAATTCAGCTGTAAATCCATCTGGTTTTGTGTTTTTCTACATCAGAAGACTTTATTACAGTTTCAGTTTTCATACTTATTGATCTGTTTAGGTTTTCTATATCCTCTTGGTTTAATTTTGATAGATTATAGGTGTCTAGAAATTTGTCCATTTTTCCTAAATTTTCCAATTTATTGAAATATAAATTTTCAAAATAGTCCCTAATAATTCTGTGGATTACTGTTGTGTCTGTGTGATATCCCCATTTTGTCTCTAATTTTATTAATTTGGGACTTTTCTGTCTTTCTTTGTGTTTGTTTGGCTAGGGTTTTATCAATCTTGTTTTTTCAGAGAACCAATTTTTTGTTTCATTGATCCTTTGTATTGTTGTTAATTTCTAGTTCTGTTAATTTCAGTTCTAATCTTTATTATTTCTTTTTTTCTTCTAGTTTAAGATTCATTTGGTCCTGTTTCCCAGGACCTTAAGATGCAGCATTAGATTGTTTGTTTGAAATATTTTATTTTTCTTTGCAGTGTTGAGCTTGAACCTGGGGACACTCTACCACTGATCTATAGCCCCAGTCCTTTTTATTTTTTATTTGTTCTAGTTTGTTATACATGACAGTAGAATGAATTTTGACACATTGTACAAAAATGGAGCACAAAGTCTCATTCCTCTGACTGTACCTGTTTTTTTTTTTTTTTTTTTTTTTTTTATCTTGTTCTTAACTAAGTTGCTAAGGCTGGCTTGGAACTTGGAATCTTCCTGCTCAGCCCTTTGAATTGTAGGCGTTACAAATGTGTATCACCAAGCCTGGCTGGATTTTTACATGTAGGCACTCAAGTGTAAAACTTCCTTCTTAGAACTGCTTTCACTGTTATATTAGAGCTTCTGATATGTTGTGTTTCCATCTTCATTTGATTCTAAGATTGTTTAAAATTCTTAATTACAAAACCTCTTTAATGGAGAGGTTTTCCAGTTTATGTTTATGGAGTTGCCATTTCCTAGACTGTCTTGAATTTTATTAAAGTATATTTCTATCAAGGTATGGACTTTTATCTTAAAATTTTTGTTTGAATCCTTCTCATATTTCCATCACTGCTCTGGGTTTATTTATATATTTCCTTTGTCATTTTGTGGGTTTTAGGAAGGGGGGGAAATAATTTAATATGTTGTCTACCATCTTGAAATGGAAATTATACATTATACCTAAATGTTAAATAGATACACTTGAATTTATTTCTCTAAAAACATCAAAACTTAAAAAATTGTTCTATCCACTCCCTTCTCTACTGCTCCCCTTTGAAAAAGGCAAAAATTGTTTTTATTATTTCTTCTCTATTAATTAGCTTTTAATGAAGTAATCTGGAATTTTAATTCCAGGTTGTTCCTTTTGCATTGCGTTACTTCAATTTTAATTAATGCTGAGAAAACTTATTCAGTTTTACCAATTACTTTAGTCATTACTACTTAGGCTTAACTCTAAACTCTAAATTTTGGAAATTTCTGACTTTATTGTAAGCCAGCTTATCTGTTTTTCCCCTGAGATGAGGTTTCACCTTGTTGCCCAGACTGGTCTCAAACTCGTGGACTCACGTGATCTTTCTGCCTCAGAGGACTATAGACATGAACCACCACACTTGGCTGGCTGCAGTTTTTTTTCCCCTTCCCCTTGTACTGGGGGATTAAATTCATGGGTACTCTACCACTGAGCTAAATCACTAGCCCTTTTTATTTTTTTATTTTGTGTCAGGATCTCACTGAGTTACTCAGACTGGCCTCAAACTTGGAATCCTCCTACCTCAGCCTCCCAAATTGCTAGCATTATAGGCATGTGCCACCGCTCTGGCCCTGGCCATGCTTTTATTGAAGCATGTTTAAATAATATTTTCAGAAATAGTGTAAGGGATGGTTTATTTCAGTGTTCCTGCTGTCTAGAAATGTAGGTTTTTTCCCCCCTTTTAAACTTGATTGATAACTTGTCTGAGTTTAGAAATATAGGATCACAGTCCTTCCTCAGAATTCTATAAAGGTTTTTCCTTTAATTTATATCATTTAATGAAATAGATTAGAGGTTGAGTGCTTATTTGAAGTTTTTTCATTGGTTGGTAACCTGATACTTTGGAAACCTAGAATATTTTATTAATTCAGAAATTAAGCCAGAGTAAATGTTTAGGTGTCTGACATTTTGATTATTCTCACCCTGACATTATAGAGCTTTTAGATATGAAAACTCAGGGATTTCTTGGGGGTGGGATTCTTGTATTCTTTTTTATTACATTTTTGCATTCAGTTTCAGATACTGCTTTTCAAGATACTGATATTGTGTGTGTGTGTGTGTGTGTGTGTGTGTGTGTGTGTGTGTGTATGCTGGGAATCAAGCCCAGGGTCTTAATACATGCTAGTTAAGCACTTTATCTCTGAGCTACATCCCCAGTCCATAAAGTATTGATGTATTTTGTAGGCGGGTTTATAATGTAGTTACAAAATGTAATAACTGCTGCATTGCCTGTGGAAAGAGTCAAAGTAACTATTTAGAAAGAACTGACTGGTGAAAATACATTCATACACATGTACGAACAATAAAGCACTCAATTTGAGTGGTGTTAGAAATATGCATAAAGCGAGGCATGGCGGCTCATGCCTGTAATCCCAGTGGCTTGGGAGGCTGAGACAGGAGGATCAAAAGTTCACAGCCAGCCTCAGCACCTTGGCAAGGCCCTGAGCAACTTGGCAAGACCCTGTCTCAAATCAAAATACAAAAAGTGTTAGGGATGTAGTTCAGTGGTTAACTGTTGCTGGGTTCAAACCCTGGTATCCCCCCAAATTTTTTTCTATGGCTTTAATTTGGAACTTGTTCTTCTATTTCAGGACCGGAAGTTAACCAAAGCTGAGCAGCAGCGGTTTAAGGAAGAAGCAGAGATGCTAAAAGGTCTCCAGCACCCCAATATAGTTCGATTTTATGATTCCTGGGAATCTATATTAAAAGGAAAGAAATGTATTGTATTAGTAACTGAACTAATGACATCAGGAACCTTAAAGACGTAAGTTGACATTGATAGTGACAATGGAATTTTATTTGAAAATAATTTCAAGGGTCATAACAGTTATTTTTATACTATTGATTAAAATTTTTCTTAAATGTGTTTTCTGGTAAGTAAAAAAATCAGGATGTTAATGAAGTATGTTAGAAAGTATGCATTGCTGATAAATTAATATTTGTGGGATATCATAGAAGTTTAGCATTGGAAATTGTTATAGAAAAAATATAATTTCATTTTGTAAAGGAAAATAAATGATTGACAGCTTAGCCATATTCACAAGTATAGTGAGTAATACTATGTAATTGTAGTCTTACCTTTCTAACAATAATTTTTGTTTTGTAGTATAATCAGTTATACATAATTAAATGTAAGGTTTACTTTTAGTTTACTTTCTTAACATTTTTGTACTAAAATTTTATGTAATCAAACCTGCTGGTGAGTCTATATTTAATAATTATTAGGAAGAAGAGATAGACAATCCTTTTAAAATTGTGCTTCCATTCCAAAAAGGCCACTCTGGCATGCTTCTTATTTTGAAGTAAAAATGCTACATACACTTGGTAGGATATCTTTTTTTGGGAGAGTCAGACCATTTTATTGAGGGGCAGGGAGGGGTTGAGCATTGCAGTCACTTGAAAGTCAGTTTTCTTACATAAGAATGAGTTCTTACATTAAAATTTTTTATAATATTGGACAACACAAAACAACACAGGGATGGTAATCGTAATGCATAAATGATCGTCTTGCTTATGTAATGTCCCCTAATAGTGTTTTTACAATAAGTTGTGGCTATTTCTTTACATGTGGTCTTCTATTTCTTCATATAGGTACTTAAAACGATTCAAAGTCATGAAACCAAAGGTCTTAAGAAGCTGGTGCAGACAAATTTTAAAAGGGTTGCAGTTCTTGCACACTAGGACTCCTCCTATTATTCACCGGGATCTGAAGTGTGACAACATTTTTATCACGGGACCCACTGGATCTGTGAAGATTGGTGATCTGGGACTGGCCACCTTAATGCGTACATCATTTGCTAAGAGTGTCATTGGTGAGTAACATTTTTATAGTTTACTAGTCAGGATAGGGAGCTTTCTCAATTGTATAGTTCTATTCCAGGAATGAGTTAACTATGGGCCGGCCATAGGCCAAACTTGGCCCACCGCCTGTTTTTGTAAGTCAAATTTTATTGGAACACAGCCATACCTGCTAATATATGGACTCTCTATGGGTGCTTTTGCACTGCAGAGTTGAATAATTATGTGACAGTTACCATGTAAACTGCAAAGTCCAATATATTTACTATCTGGTCCTTCATAGAAAAAAGTACTAACTCTGGCCTACACTGTAAATGTGCTTTGAAATATCTATTTTATATATATATATATATATAAACTTATTTCAGAAATGTCTTTGTGTATTTCTTTTGTAGCATATAATTAGGATTATTGAAAGTTTCTGAGGACTTATGAAAGTTTATTAAGTGAATCCAGAAAATTTTGAACTAAAAAGAATAGAAATAAAAACAAGTTTTATTAACCATAACCTAATCTTAAGCATTTTAAATTTTAATTTATCAGTATGGAAAGTTAAGGAAATTCTGTAGGTGCTTTGTTTATATAATACAAATTTTATACTTTTAGATTTGCTTTTTGAGAGCAGAAATTAACATGGATAATCTTTAAGGAAATGGGTACCTTGGTGGATACAGTTTCTCTTTAATCAAAATATGGCTATGGTGTTATTTTGTAGGAACACCTGAGTTTATGGCTCCAGAAATGTATGAAGAGCACTATGATGAATCCGTAGATGTCTATGCTTTTGGAATGTGTATGCTGGAAATGGCTACTTCCGAGTACCCTTATTCTGAGTGCCAGAATGCAGCTCAAATATACCGTAAAGTTACCAGTGTAGGTATAACTTTATTCTTTTTACTTTACAAATTCCCATATTTCATGTTGAAGTTGGTAAAATTGACTTAGTCAAGCCTAATTTTGGGACTACAGTTGTTGCTCAGTGGTCAAGCACTTGCCTAACATGCATGAGTCCTGGTTGTAATCTCAAGATGTGTGTGTGAGAAACATCTAATTTTGGTTTAGTTTTGTATAACAGTATTACATTAACAATTGTGCTGTGTTTTGGTTTAGATGTAATGTCCCCCAAAAGCTCATGTGTGAGACAATGCAAGAAGGTTTGGAGGAGAAATGATTGGGTTATATCCTTAACCTAATCAGTGAATTAATCCCTGGAGGCAGGTAGGGTGTGACTAGAGGAAGTGGTTCTTTGAGGGTGTAGCTATGGGGTAGATATTTTGTATCTGGAGACTGGACTCTCTGCTTTCTGATGGACCTGTGAGCCACTTCCCTCTGCCACACTCTTTTTTAAAAATGTTTTTTAGTTGTAGATGGACGCAATACCTTCATATTACTGTTTTTTTATGTAATGTCGAAGATCAAACCCAGTGCCTCATGCGTGCAAGCACTCTACCACTGAGCCACAACCCCAGCCCCAAGTATTTTTTTTTCTTTTTGTGGTGCTGGGGATTGAACCCAGGGCTTTGTGCATGTGAGGCAAACACTCTACCAACTGAGCTTTATCTCCCCCTACCATCTGCCATACTCTTCCGCCATGAAGTTTTGCTTCAACTCAAGCCCTGAGGAATGGAGCTTGCGTTCTGTGAACTGAGATCTCTGAAACCTTGAGCCCTCAAATAAACTTTTCCTCCTTTACAATTTTGCTGGTCAGGTCCTTTAGCCACAGCAGCAGAAAATCTGACTAAAACAGACTTGAGATAATCTTTAGATTTATAATACATACCTGTACCCTATTGGGGTCATCTAAAATGCTCTATATTAGTGTCTTTGGGAAAATGTACAGGTATATCATCTGTATTCTTTCATTTGTAATGAATTTTTAGATATTTATTAGATGGATCTTATTCTTCAAATCTGAATAATATTGACAAGAAGGATTTGAAGGTTTCTTATAGTTTTACAAGCCTGATTATGAAAGGCAGTTTAAATATAATTCAACAGATACAGTATTTGAGTCCTAGGTATATGTAATTTTTCTGTTAGAGATTGTAAGGAATGAAAAGATGAGGAAAAGGTGATTTCTACCCTCAAATATCTTGTATTCCTAGTAGGGGAATAATATAAATTCACAAGCAACTATAAAATAAGAGGAGGAGAATATATTTAAAATATAAGGAAATAGCAACAGGAATTTTATGATTGTTCAGAGGACGACTACTTCATATATAGTCGAGTGGCTCAAGATAGGCCATGGAAGAGATTATTAAGTGTGAAATAGCTAATACTAATAGATAATGCTTTTTTAAAATTTTAATTTGTTATATATGACAGCAAAATGCTGTCATCTCTGGTTGTATACAAAGTAGAGTCACACCATTTATGTCTTCATACATGTACTTAGGGTTAGATAATGCTTTTTAGCCCCTTAAAATTAATATTATTTTTAATAGAAAAAACATAATTGTGTACATTTATGGAATACAATATGATGTTTTGATATATGTATATGATATGTAATTATCAAATCAAGCTTGTTAACATATACATCACATTTCTTGCTTATATTTTTTGTGATGAGACATTTGAAATTTACTGTAAGTTATTTTGAAATATGCACTGTATTATTATTGACTGTAGTCACTCTGTTGAACAAAAGATCTCAAAACTTATTCCTTGGGTATAATTGCAACTTGTACCCTTTGACTATCAACTCCCCATTATCTCCTTTCCAACCTTTGGTAACCACCATTCTATTCTTTATTTCCATGAATTTTATTCTTTTCAATTTCACATATGATTATGTTATATTTGTCTTTCTTTGCCTGTCTTATTTTATTTAGTATAATGTTCTTTAGGTTCATCCATGTTATTACAAATGACAGAATTTCTTTTTTAAGGGTTAATAGTATTCCATTTGATGGGCATTTAAGAGACTTAAGAGTAGTATTGAGCTGGTAAATGTTTAGCAGTTGATACCATGAAAAACAAAAAAAGAAAAGCACTGATTTCTAGTATTTGCTAATTTTTGTGGTGTGAATACTTCCACCTTGGCTGATTTCAAGTTATTGGTGTGGCCTCACTGAATGCAAACTTGGGAAGAGATGCATACTGGCACTCATTGTATGATACTTCCACTACACATATACAATAGCTATCAACAATCTCAAATGCATAAGTAATGACAAAATGTGGTAAAATATGGAATGGTGTTTTCAATATTTATTACCTTGGCTTTTAATATAATTTATTTAATTCAGTTTTTTTGATTGGCTGTGTTTAAATTGCTTGCAAATTTCTTGAAAATGTAATAGCTCTTATGAGTTTATATGAGAGCTCCAGCACACCATACACGTGATATATAGACTTTGGATCTTGACTTGAACAAACCAACTATAAAAGAAACTTCACTTGAACAATTTTGAAAATTTAAAAGTGGACTGTGTTTTAAATAACATTAAGGAATAATTATTTGAGGAGGGATAATGACTTTTTTTTTTTTTTTTTGGCAGTGCTGGGGATTGAACCCAGGGCCTTGTGCATGTGAGGCAAGCACTCTATCAACTGAGATATATCTCCAGCCTTGGGATAATGACATCTTTTAAAAAAGAATCTTACCTATTAGAGATATAAACTGAAAAAATTGTGGATCACATTATATGATGCCTTAGATCTCCTTTAATGTACTCTAATATATGAAAGTTATGTAGGTAGATAGATGAAATAAAGTTTACAAAATAACGATTGTTTTTGAAGCAAATGATAGTTATGTGGAGCTTCAATATTCTGTTCTTTTTAGTATGTTTGAAATTTTCTTTAAGAGCACAGTAAAAGAGAATATCTTTTTAGTTGTGGCTCACATTTTGGAAATCTCTAAGTAGAAAAGTATTTTGTACTTGATTTGTAAATTATAGTTCCGCAACTATTTTCACTTAGAAACAGAGAAAGGCAATAATTACTCAGGGCTGGGAAATGGATAATAGGCTAGTGGAAAGGTCAAAGAGGACTGTTTCTATAAATAGAATAAACAAGTTCATTTTTAATGACTTTGTTATTTTACCTTAAACTCACAGAATTACCATATCACAATTCATATTTTCGTTTATCTTAAAATGTGTTGAATTTGGGTTCAAATTAACTCCTTATCTTACCAGATTTGTCAGTATATGATACTGGATTTTCTGATTCTGTGGTGTGTAGGGTAGTATGACAGGCATAGAAGTAGATCCCCCCCCCCTTTTTTTTGGTACTGGGGATTGAACCCAGGGGCACTTAACCACTGAGCCACATCCCCAGCCCTTTTTTTAAATTATTTTTTATTTTGAGACAGCATCTCGCTGAGTTGCTTAGGGCCTTGCACGTAGTTGCTGAGGCTGGCTTTGAACTTGGAATCCTCCTGCCATAGCCTCCAAAGCCACTGGGGTTACAGGTGTGCACCACTATGCCCACCTAGAAGTAGATCTTGAATTGCCTCCATTCATGATAATTTTTATTTCTATTATATTATTCTGTTACTAATTTAATTTGAAATTTTGTATCAAATATTGCAGTAATATATTGATTTGAAAAAAATCTAAAACTCAAAAGGTAATATAAAGTATAAAATAAGCAGATTCAGGCAGCTAATACAGTTATCATAGGAATATTTAATACATTTTCTGGACCTATTGAACATTATGAATTATGAATTTTTGTGGAACCTGTTAATTACCATGTAGGATTCTGTTGGTATTACAGTATTGCTTAAGTAGAAATATATGTATATATTTCTCAAATTTTCATACATAGGCATATATATTTCATGCATACACATATATATGTGTGTATATACATACACACACTGCTTGTTTATTGATTCTTGCCATTGTAGAAGACTTTGAATTATATTGAATTGGAGTATTTGAAATAAAAATACTTTATTTGAAATTTTCAAAAGTTTTAAAAATAATAGTTCTCTGATTCCAAAAAGTAGTTATTATAGGGGTTGGGATTGTGGCTCAGTGGTAGAGCACTTGCCTGGCATGTGTGGGCATTGTGTTTGATCCTCAGCACCACATAAAAAATAAATAAATAAAATAAAGGGATTATGTCCATCTACAACTAAAAAAATAAAAAAATAGTTATTATAATTTTTCTAATTGGTTTTATACTATATGTACATATTTGGGTCCTTCTTTTTCCCTATTTGATATTAAATCATGAGGATTTTCCATATCATTAATTATTTTTACCCCCTTTTTTTCATTACTAGAAATTGAACCCAGGAGTATTCTACCATTGAGCTTTATTATCTGAACTCTTTTTAGTTTTTATTTTGAGATAGGATCTTAGTTGCCCAGGTTGGCCTTAAATTTGAGATTCTCCTGCCTAATCCATCTGAGTTGCTAGAACTACAGTCATGCATTGGCTACTTTGAGAACATTTTTAGTTTTTGTGTACTATCATATAATATAAAACATAATATATAAGTTTATCTTTATTGTTGGTTATTTAGATTTATAATTTTCACAGTTATTTATAGAGTTATGGCAAAATTTTAGTTAAAAAAGTTATTAAAGTTTTGGCATATAAATATATTTATATATATTTATCTCATTTAAAACTGGAATGTGATTTAATAAAAATGATATTAAAATGATCATGTTGATTGGATTTTCAATTGCTTAATTTGTGAAAAAAAAAAATGTTTATTCTTCCAGGGCATTAAACCAGCCAGCTTTAATAAAGTCACTGATCCTGAAGTGAAAGAAATCATTGAAGGATGTATTCGTCAAAACAAATCTGAAAGGTGGGTGCAAGTCTAGTGAAATGATATAACTGATGGATGTATTTTTTTCTAATCATACACTGGGTCATTTTTTTGTCCTTTTACTCATGCTAGGTATGACTTTTGAGTGGAAGCCAAACCATATGGTATAGAGTGAAGTGTATCAATGCATGTTATTTGACATTTTAGACTTTAATATTATGTGCTGAATTTTCCTTGAGCTGACATTTAGGTTGTTTGTGTGTATATATTCTGACAAGCTTTCATCACCTTTAACCATCAGCTTAATAGGCAGTAAGCCTACATAGGTTACCTTGCTTCTACCAGTTGAGGGTAGATAGATATATTTTATTTGATCCTATATCCCTGTGTCACAATAATGATAATGTTGATATAGTTGCTTTTGTTTCAGAAGTAATATTGTAGATTTATTATTTGTATCCCAGTGTGTGTTTTCTTATGAACAAGTCATTTTAGTCTTATCTTTTACTTCTCTTTAATTTGAGCCTTGGAAAATTACTGACTTAAATTAGTGGGTACATCTTTTAATTTTTACTACCTTATTAATGATACATACTTTAAACAAACAAATAATCTGCATCAGCGTTTCATTGACCCTCCACATTTTTATTAGTTTTCTAACTTGATTTAGTATTGTATATCTGAGAATACAATAGACCTTACCTTAGCCATTAAGGTAAGTCTGTTGAATTATGGCTTTATTATAGAACACTTAATACAAGCTAGGTGTGGTGGGACAGGCCTGTATAGCTACTCTGAGTGGCTGAGGTGGGAGAATAGCTTGAATTCACAAGTTCAAGAAGACTATATCTTGAGCGACATAATGAGACCCTGTCACAAACAAAAATTTTAAATGGACTTGACAGGCCTGGTGGTTAATGCCTGTAATGCTAAGTAAGGCAGAGGTAGGAGGATTGCAAGTTCAAGGCCAACTAGGGCAACTTAGCAAGACCCTGTCTCAAAATAAAAAGAGTTGGGGATGTTGCTCAGTGGTACAGTGCCACTGGGTTCAATCCCCTGTACCAAAGTAAATAATAATAATAGTAAAAAATGTAGAGGGTTGAAAATCCTCCATTTATAGGACACCAAGTTGTCCACATGATTCTTTTCTGTTTTAAGTGGTACAGGAGGGCCTCTCTACATAGACATTAGGCAGTATATTAGTTTCAGCACCCACTGGCCTGTAATACAGATTGATTAAATATTATATGTCTTTTAAACATTAGTTGAAGAAGAAACACTTGTCCTTCTTTGCAAAAGAATCTTTTGAAGTCTTATGTTTTATTTTCTTCTCAGTGATGGTTAATCCTTGATATTAAGCTAGAGTTGATTCCATTATATGTATACTGTGGCCTAGAACCAGAGTTAAATACTTTAAGAAAACCACTGGACTTTGCTGAACCACATTAGCTACACCACAACGTTCTTCTAAAGAGTGAAGCACACCATTGCTAATGAAGTCAATGACATAAATATTTGTGAAACAGTGTTAATTTCTAATTTACTTTAGAATTTATATCGCTGGGGGAGTTTTTAGTTTCATTTGCAGAGATTCTATTATTGGAGTTGTAGTAACTTAAGCTGATGGTTTAAGGAAAATCAATCCACCCAATATGTACTTCTCTGATTCTTTCTATGTATACTTTTATATATGTTAAAGTTCATTATATAGTAGGTGTGGTGGCACTTCTGTAATCCCAACAACTGGGAGACTGAGGCAGGAGGATTGAATGTTTGAGGCCAGCCTGGGCAATTTAGCAAAAGCTTGTCTCAAAATACAATGAAATGGACTAGGAATGTAGTGCTATCACCTGGGTTCAATCCCCACTACAGAGGGAAAAAAAGCAAAGTTTGTTGTCTAGATGCTTTACTAGTAATAATTAATCTTTTTATTTATTTTTTTCCGTGTTACTGGGGATTGAATAGAAGGGTACACTACTACTGAGATATATCCACAGCCCTTTTTTTCAGTTTTTGTTGATGCTGGCCTCAAATTTAAGATCCTCTTGCCTCAGCCTTCCAAGTCAATGGAATTATAGGCCTGCACCACTGTGCCTGGCATAATTAATCTTTAATTAAAGTTACTATATATGCATGTTATTTGGGATTTCTTTGTATCCTTTACAAGATTTGGTTTTATAACAAAGCAGATTAATGGTTTAATTACTAGAAAATTTAAATAAGGTTGTTGCTTTGGTATAAATAATTTGACTTATTATTGGAAGAATTTATAATGAGATATGTATTTTGCTTATTAGGTTGTCTATCAGGAACCTACTAAACCACGCATTTTTTGCTGAGGATACAGGACTGAGGGTAGAGCTAGCAGAGGAAGATGATTGCTCAAATTCATCCCTGGCTTTAAGACTCTGGGTTGAAGACCCTAAAAAATTAAAAGGCAAACACAAAGACAATGAAGCTATTGAATTCAGTTTCAATTTAGAAACAGATACACCTGAGGAAGTAGCATATGAAATGGTAAGTTTTACCACTGTTTTCCCCTGCCATATATGGTATCCAGGTTTGATTACTTTCTTGTATTCATTGCTTTCTTTTCTCTCATTTTCTCCTGGTTTTTGTTTGTTTGTTTTGTTTGCTTGTATATTTTCAGAATAGGGAATTGAACCCAGGGGCACTTTACTACTGAACTATATCCCAGACCTTTTTATTTTTTATTTTGAGACAGAGTCTCATTAATCATGCAGGCTGGTCTCAAAGTTGTGATCCTCCTACTTCAGCCTCCCAAGTCACTGATATGACAGGCTTGTATTACCATGCCCAGCCTTTCACTGTCTCCTGTTTTCTTTATTTAAATTGTTGTGTTATTGTGAAATGTATCTCCATAGCAGAGTATACAGAATTTGTATGCACACTGTAAAGAACAATAAAACACTACATTTGTTAAGAAATAGAACATTGTCATTGCCTTTGAAGCCACCAGTGTGTTGCTCCCAGCTACATTCCCCTTTCTCAGCTCCTTAGGCAATATCTATCCTGACTTTTCTGTTACTTATTCCTTTGTTTTTCATTATAGTTTACCTAAGTAATATATTGTTTTATTTTGTAAACCTAATAGCAAACACACACCTAGCTGGCTACACAGGGGCATTATTAGTATAGTTAGATGAAAAAAACCCAGGAAGGATAAACTGAAGAGAGTCTCTGGATCAACATCTGGTTTCAGCTTCCCTAAGAGCATACAAGAGCTGCTTCTGGGGAAATCAGAGTATGCGGTTAAGAGTAAGTTCAGGGAAATAAACCCATGGATCAGCACAGTCAGAATACTGGCAAAGACTGTTGTACAGACCAGAAATTAGTTTGGTAACCATACGGTTGGACAGGAAGTGGACCACTCTGATTTTTCCATTTCTAATTTCTCTGTGACCAGCCCCCACCCTCAGTAGATCATAGCCTGTAACTAACTGCTAGGAGGTGTAATTCATGTCTACACCTGCTCCAAGCAGCTGCTAATACTGATAGGAGGGGCATGCATAAGTTTTAGCAGCATGTAGTCAAGACTGGCTGGATATTTTGACCTCAGGTTAAAAAGGATGGGACAGTGACAGTGGGGATCTTGGAGATGATAGCCCTTTACATTACTGAATTAAGGTTATACTATTCTAATCTGAAATGTTTTCCTTGGACATCTGGTGTACAACTGGCATCTGGATACTTACCTTTACTATCTTCCTAGATTTTTCTTTGCCTCACTCTTGTACTGGGTTTTATGTTTCCTAAATCCCATGGTTTTATTTTTCTTACTTGGCCTGTCCTTTTGTTTTAGTGGAACAGTTTTCAGCTAGCTTCTTAAAGTTTTGGGGTATTTTTGCAGTACTGGGGAATGAACCGAGTGGCACTGTACCACTAAACCACATCCCCAGCCCTTTTTATTTTTCATTTTGAGACAAGAGTCTTGCTAAGTTGTTGGGCCTTGCCTCAAACTTGTGATCCTCCTAAGTTTCCTAAATTGCTGGAATTATAGACATGTGCCACTGAGCCTGACTTTCAAACATATTTTATATATCTTTGTATTGTTTTAATATTTACAATGAGCACATGATATTTTAGAATGAGTAAAACAATGTAAAATGACTTAAATTTAAAAAAATCTATAAAACTAAAAATCAGTATTCCTTTGATTCTGCCGACATGCAGAGGTGTAAAAATTCAATATTATCCTGTCTATACTGCAGTATAGTGTTTTAAGTTTTCTGCTAGCTTGTTAATAAGAAAGGGGTACATAGGAGATAAATTCTTTGAGACTTGGAAGTACAAAAATTCATTTTTCCATCTTTGTATTTAATTGATCATTTTGGCTGACCAAGGCATTTTTGGTTGACAGTTGTTTGCTTTTTTAAAATTTGAAGTCATTGCTACTTGCTCATCTAGCTTTTAGTATCATTGTTAAAAAGTCCAGAGTTGTTGTGATACTTGATTGTTTACATGTGATGCATTTTTTTCCCACTCTGGAAGATCTTTTTCTTCTCAGTGATCTAAAATTTCACAGTAATGTATCTTGATTTGAGTCTGTTTTCATCCACTGTTGCATACTCTGTGGATCCTTTCAATCTGTGAAAACATATCCTCTAGTTTCTGGAAAGTTTCTTGAAGTATTTTGATTTCTTGTTTGTTTCTCCTGCTGGAACTGCCAGTTATTTGGATGTTGGGCCTCTTAGAACTGGTTTTCTAATATTCTCATCATTTCTATTTTCCATCTCTTTTTCTTTTTATTCTCCTCTGGTAGATGTTAGTAACTCTGTTTTCTAACTCTTCTATTGAATTTTTCATGTTTACTAATGTGTTTTTAATTTTAAGAGTTCTTTTCATTTTTTTTATCTGTTCCTTTTTAGGGTAAATATCTTGCACTTTGTTTTGTGAATGCACTATTGTCACACCTCTCTATAAAATTAGTGATTTTTGACTCCTCTTTTGAATAAAGAATTTATTGTTACATTATAAATTACTACAAATTTAGTAGCTTAAAACACCACCTGTTTACTATCTCTCAGTTATATAGGTCAGAATTCCTGGTAAGCCTTGCTGGATTCTCTGCATAGGATCTCACAAGCCTCAAATCAAGGTGTTGTCTAGCCTGTTCTTATCTGGGAGTTCTGTTGTGAGATCCTTGTTTCCTTGCTGGATGTTAGCTGGAGACTGTTTTCAGTTTCTTGAAGCTGCTTTTTAGTCCTTTCATGTGCCCAATCATGTCTTCAAAAAACAGGGTTGGCTTGGTGAATCCTTCTAGTGTCATCTGCTTGTAAAATATCACTCAGATAATCTCCCTAGTTTAAGGTCATCTGTGCTATATATACAGATACAATAATGATGGGAGTGATATCTCATCATGTTCACAGGTTTGGCCATCAGGTGAGGGCGTCCTTTAGGGGCCATAATTTTACCTGCTACAGGAACTAACAAACTATCTGGATGGTATTATTGCTTGCATAATAAGACTTGTTAACTTTGACTACTATAGAGTACTTGAGTGGGCCATTATTATAGGAATCTCAGATTGTTATTTATAAATCTTTCATTTTCCTTTGGTAAGATTCTCTAGAGAAGCATTTTTCAGTCTCCTTCCTGGAGAATAAGGGTATTAATACCAGTATTTTGGTAACCAAAAAGGAAAAGGTCTGAGCATTTCTGCATTTGATATCCAGCTGTATATGATTGCTTAATAGTTTTGTTTTTAGCATGGTAGCCATAATATCAACTGTGTTTGATGTTCTGAAAACCAGATACTTTCTTTTGCCCTCTTCAGAGAACAAAACCCTAGATTAATGGGTAGGGAGAAGCAATCATACAAAGGTGTGGAAGGAAGGGTGAGATGCTGGGACCTAAATAATTGCTTCACAAAACCTTATAACTGAGTCTTCCTTATTTTCACTTTACCTTCAGTTATGAAAGTACCTAGTACCATCAGTTCCTGTGGTTTATGATTATTCTTCAGTATAAATGGTTCTTAGTTTTCTGTAGTTCACCTTTCCCAGTTTTTTTTTTTTTTTTTGCGTGTGTGTGTGTGTGTGTGTGTGTGTGTGTGTGTGTCTCGTGCTGGAGCTTGAACTCAGGGCCTTGTGCATGCAAGACAAGCACTCTACCAATTGAGCTATATCCCCAGCCTCACTAGGTTTGTTTTTATTGTCTGTTTGTTTTCTATATTCCAAAGTATTCAAAAGGTTGTTACCATTGCTGTTCTCTTATTTACCCTGTTCTTGTGTGTTTTTAACTTAATCCATTTATTATGGGGTAGTTTTTCTTTTTAGAATTTTGGGAGGGAGCACAATGGGGTTACGTGTGTTTCACCTAACTTTTGTTTTTTTTGTACTGGGGATTTGACCCGAGGGTCCTTTACCAGTTAGCTACCTTCCCACCCCCTTTTATTTTTTTATTTTGAGACAGGATCTTGGTAAGTTGCTTAGGGCTTTGCTAGGTTGCTAAAGCTGGCTTTGAACTTGTTGTCTTGCCTCAGCCTTCCAAGTCACTGGGATTATAGGCATGCAGCATCATGCCCGGCTGTTTCAGCTAACATTTTATTCATCTTTCAACTACTGTGACATATTTCAAGAGTCTGCAGACCCCCAAGACTTGCTTTAAAAAGCAGACTATAGCATTGAGAATGATGTGCCATGGTACCTTCTCAAATCACTTTCTCTGCTGCTCACCTTTGTTGCTCTGAGACCATAAGGCAGAACTGTTTCCTCTCCTCTGATACTTCTAATGCCTAGTAAGATGTAATATTTTGTGGTAAATATACTTCTTTTGCTAGAATGTTGATCTCCACTCCAGACTTCATTTGTACTTTCTTCAATAGCCTGTTCATTCCTTTGTTTGCCTTTTACCAAGGTCCAAATTTACCTTCCACTGTAACTGTTTCCCTATTTCCTTGGGCTCTTTTAGCAGCTCATTTCTACTTCATTTCATTTTAAGTTTGTATCTATTTTATACCTTCAAATTTTGTGTTCATATAGGACAAAATATCGACTTAGTTACTTGTATCTCTCTCTCTTGTCCCCAGTACTAGGCATATTGTAGACATTTAATGCTGCTGAATGAAGAAACCCTTTTAATTTTTTACAATTCTTAATGGCAGTCATAAATTATCAGTAACAAGGCTGGAAGTAATGAAACATCAGAGTTTTTATTTTTATTTAAAGTCCAAACTATTTCAATAATGCTTGTAATACTGTTGTTTTTTTTTGTATTTATTAAAAATATTTTCTTATATTTTTGCATGTATGTATGTCTTTGATTAAGAAAGAATATAGAGATCAGGCATGGTGGTGCATGCCTTTAATCCCAGTAACTTGGGAGGCTGAGTCAGGAGGATCAAAATTCGAGCCTACCTCCACAATTTAGCAACGCTCTATGCAACTTAGCAAGATCCCATTTTGAAATAAAAAGTAAAAAACCTATGTGGCTTTTATATGGCTCAGTGTTTGAGTGCCCCTGGGTTCAATCCCCAGTACCAGGGGAAAAAAACGAACAAAAGAATGAATGAATGAATATATAAGCAAATTGACTGTTGTTTAATAGAGTTTGGAGTTTTGGGTATAAATTAATGATGTTAGTTGGGCTGGGGTTTTATGTAGCACTGGGTTTGATCTTCAGCACCACATAAAAATAAATAAATAAAATAAAGATATTTTAAAAAATAATGGTGTTAAAAATAGCCAAAATCTTAAATGTTAAGGAAGTGCCTTGCTTACTATATTTTGTTTGTAGGTCAAGTCTGGATTCTTTCATGAAAGTGACTCCAAAGCTGTGGCTAAATCCATTAGAGATCGGGTGACCCTGATAAAAAAGACAAGGGAGAAGAAGCCTGCTGGCTGTTTGGAAGAACGCAGGGATTCACAGTGTAAGTCTATGGGGAATGTACTTCCTCAGCAGCAAACTACAACTTTGCCTCCTACTTCTGCTCAGCATACTGGGGCTGAATGTGAAGAAACTGAAGTTGATCAACATGCTCGACAGCAGCTTCTACACAGAAAACCACAACAGCACTGCTCCTCCATTAGAGGTAAAGCAATTAAAATTTATAAAACACATACAAATGTCCAATCATATTTCCTTATTTTTTAAATTTTAAATTTTAATTTTTTGAGAGAGAGAGAGAGAGAGAGAATTTTTAACATTTATTTTTTAGTTTTTGGTGGACACAACATCTTTATTTTATTTTTATGTGGTGCTGAGGATCAAACCCAGCACCCCGTGCATGCCAGGCGAGCGCGCTACTGCTTGAGCCACATCCCCAGCCCCAATATTTCCTTATTTTTAAATAGTACTTTTGTGTTTTTTTAGGTGATTCTATTATCTGTTATTTATTTCATCAAGCCTTTTACAAAACCCCTAAAACAGGCCAGCTAGTTTCCTTATTTTAAAATTTAAGAAACTATTGTTAACTGACTTGTCCAAAGTGCTTGCTGCAGTAGAGTTAAAATCTAGCAACTAGTCTTATTCAGAGAAAAAGTCAAATGACCATACTAATGTTTTTAAGGGTTTAACATAAATCCTTTAATAAAGAAAATTTGGAACTAAAGATACAATGCATTCCTCAGGAAGGAATTTTATAGATGTTAAGACCTTTTGTGTTTTAGGCTAAATTATAAACAGAAGCCCTTTAATTTTTATGCTGTCATATTTTCTTTTCCAAAAGGACACAATATTTGCATAGTAATAACCAATTGTTCTACAGAGGCAGTATTTTTTCCTATCCAGTTTCTAGGAGAAAGAAACTATGACTCTTTGTTTTACTGAAATCCTAATGGCAAGTATAATTCAGTTAGGTATGGATATACATGAAACAGCCAGTAAGTGGAGTTGATTTTTTGTGTGTGATTGTTTTCAGGTTTGTTTTATTAAGAAAATTTTATGGGTAGGGATGTAGCTCAGTTATAGAGCATGTGCTTAACATTATCAAGACCATGGATTTAATCTTCAGAACTGCGGAAGAAAAGAAAATTTTAGTATATATCACAGTGCCAACATTTCATTGCTTAATGGAGAATTTAAATGATGATTTTGATTAATTCTGCAGTGTAAATATTTTACTTGTTTGTGTTTTCAGAATAAAAAAGAAAGAAAAGAAACACTACTACCTATACTATTTCAATTTTGTGCTTTTTATTTTCCCTTCTACCTTTCCTTCCTTCCTTCCTTCCTTCCTTCCTTCCTTCCTTCCTTCCTTTCTTTCTTTTTTTCTTTCTTTCTTTCTTTCTTTCTTTCTTTCTTTCTTTCTTTCTTTCTTTCTTTCTTTCTTTCTTTCTTTCTATTGTTGTTTTAGGATAGACATGACAGTTGGGTATATTTTGACATGTTATACATACATTTTGTGCAACCCATTATAATTCTGATCCAATTCTTGGGTCTGATGCTTCTTTTCTTTGTTATAGGTGACAATTTGTCTGAAGCAGGAGCTGGATCAGTTACACATTCAGATACTTCAAGTCAGCCCAGTGCAGCTTATTCCTCAAACCAGACGATGGGCTCTCAAATGGTTTCTAGTGTCCCACAGGCTGATATAAATGTTCCAGGGCAAATTTATCCATCTCAGCAACTGGTAGGACATTGCCAGCAAGTTTCAGGGGTGAGATGAACTGTTACTTTTTTTAAATATAGAACATCATATTTACTATAAATGGGAGAGTTTATCTTTAATTTTTTTACTTTTTTAACAGTTACAAAAGCAGCCAAATCTGACTCAGCCCCCAATTTTGCCTGTGGTTCAAGGTCAGTCCACTGTTTTGCCTGTACATGTTCTTGGACCTACAGTTGTTTCACAGTCCCAAGTTTCCCCATTAACTGTGCAGAAGGTCTCACAGATAAAGGTAAGATATCATTTTAGAAACTCTGTATTCACTGAGACAAATTTAACACTGCCTAGATTTTTCTAACAAGCAAAGATTCTCTTTTATAAATTCATCATAGTTTAGATAAAGATCACTGAAAACTAAAAGTTGTTTATGCTTTCCTTCACCCAAGACATTCCTCTTGAGGATATACCTAACATTGTGCAACTAGAATCTTGAAACACTGTTTGCATAATTGGGGAAGAAACAGAGGACTCAATGTATGGACAAAAATCTATGTAGGACTTTGATCTCTTTTTCTTGGTAATACTAGTTTCTTCTTGGTATTGAACTTTTCCAGCCTGGTTTGAGTGTGGAGTGATATCTGTTGCAGTTTATTATAAATAGCATTTCATTGCTGGGTGCAATGGTACCTATAATCCCAGTGACTTGGGAGGCTGAGGCAGGAGAATTGCAAGCTCAGGGTAGCCTTGGCAATGAAGTGAGACCCTATATTAAAATTTTAAGGGTAGGAAATGTAGGTCAGGAATAAAGTGCCCCTGTGTTCTATCCCCAGTACCACAAAAAAAGATTTCATAGACTTTAATAATTTTTGGCACATCCATCTAAGTTCTTGACTTGTTTTTGGTTCATGTTTATTTCTGTAGGAGAATAAGAAGTATTTTTGTCTTTCAGACCAGTAAAGTCAGCATTATGTGTTTCCAACAATAATTAAACAGTCTTTGAGTTATTTCATATATTCAAATTATATCCTGTTTACCTAGGTTATGGACTCTGGACCCATGGTTGGCCTTTTCTTTGCCATCACCCTGCTTTCTCCCTTCACTACTCACCATTCCCTGCATGTGCCTTCTAAACTCCTGGGCATTCTCTACTTAGATAGCAGCTGATGTATCTGTTTAAGAGATTGGTGTACAATCAAACCCAGTTCATTGACAAACTTAATGACTACCATCTTCTAGGGATATAAAGTAAAAAACAACATGGTCTTTGGCCTCCTCAAGGAGTTCACAGTCTTGTAAGGGGAAAGCATACACGTACTTGACAAATGCCAGATACATTTAAAATCTGCAGCGGGCAGATTTAGTCTGATATAGTTGAGCTATCCTAGTATTTGGCTAGTGTTTATAAGTGATACAGTACATATTTGTAATTGAGCTCATGTTATGGTTTGGTTTGTTTCTTTCTAAGACTATAATGCAAAGTATGTTGAATGGATTCTTACATTTAACTTAGATTCAACCATATAAGTATACAGGTATGTGAATAAAATGTGTTTCCAAGTTTTTTTTAAAGTTAAAATTTTGTGGAGAAAAAAAGCTAAATATTGTTATGAAAGTGTTATGTGCTTATTTTAAAAAGTTAAAGGTCATAAAATTATATAGAAGAAAGTGAAAAGTTTGTTATCCCTCCAGCTGGAGACACTTATATTCCGGGTATATAGCTCTATGTTTGTCTGTTTTTCTATGTACCCATGTACAGTTTTGTTTATAGATGCATATGTATATTACATACATATTATCTTTGTAATCTGTCCTTTTCACCTACTATATAAAATCCATGTAAGCAAGATTTTGATCATTTGGGTCTTTTTATGAGCCTGGTGGCCCATGTTCTTGGAATTATTATAGCCAACCTATATTAATTCCAGCGAATTTTAGGTTCATTTTAGCTGTGATAATGAAATCAGTTTTGTTTTCTCTTGGGACTTCCACTATCTGGTGTGTGAAGGTGTCAGATTCATTTACTCTGAATCTGCCAAGGTTCAAATGAATTATGTGGTAAGTGCAATAAATGAAAAACCATGAGCAGTATATTGCTGGGACTAATCTCAGCTCTTTGTATATTTAACTAGCATTTACTCATGGTATTAGGATTTTTATGGAACTAATGCCATACCTAGCACCTTTTTGATAATTCGATAACTTTTTTTAGAATATAGCATTATTTTATCAATCATCTGGAACAGTCCCATTAAAATGGGCATGGTATATACATTTATAATTTGAATTTTCCTTGCACCAGCACCAGGAACTGCAGCTGGCTCTTGGAACAGATGGACAAACTTCAGCCCAACCCATGATTTTAGACTTGTCAGTTTCTGGAGTTCCACAACCAGTCCTTTCTGCCGTTTCTCCTCAGACATTGCCTGCTTCACAGATGACTTCCCAGCATCCAACAATTGGTCTTCAACTTGAGCCTGGCCCCAAAAATGGGAATCAGGCATTAACCAAAGCACCAGATGCCAATCAGACTTCTAGTTTCTTACTGGTTAATCACCCTCAAGCTTTGTTGAATCATTCTTCTGCCCAATATGTGAGCAGTGCACAGAATGCTGCTGATACAGCTCAGCTCCCTTCTAATTCCATCAGGGGTCATTCAGGGGCCCATCATCCTTCACAAAAGATACAGTCAGTATCACAGCCCTGCCCAGTGGTACATCAGGAGTCTATAACTCCAACTTCTTCAGTGCCACAAAGCCAGACTGTGCATTTGAAGGAAACCGTGCCTTGTTTCCAAGCCTCTATTCAGCAGCAGCCATTATTTTTACAACCTAAGATTATGGCATCACCACAGAAAAATGTTCAGCAGGATTGTATTCTGCAAGAGTCTGAAGCTCTTGCAAGTCAGCAGCAGCCAAAGGGTGGTATTGAAAGTGTGATTCAGCCGCTGGAACGGCCATCTTATTCTGTTCAACACACTTATCCAGGGCCACCTGCAGAACTACCACCTTTCCCACTGAAGGCTCCTGAGCAGCTGCCCTTTGTGATACATCCCCAGGAACAAACTTCTTACTCATCACAGCCAACTTACCCAGTCCAGGCTCCAGCACAACCTATTTATTCACTGCCAGCCCTGGAGCATCCACTTTACACTGTACAACCACCGGGATCACAGCCAGCCTATTCCATGCAGACTTCTTATCCAGTCCCACCTACAGCACAGTCCTCTTATTTGGCACCGGCCCAAGGGCAGTCTGCTTACCTAGTGCAACCTCCAGTTCGGTCACCATTTGCAGACCAGACAGCATATGCGATCCAGGCAGCTTATCCTGTGCAACCTATGGAACAGCCTGCTTATCAGGCACTGCCTCTTGAACATGTCTCTTACTCAGGACAGACTGCTTACACCATCCAGACTACTGAACAGGCAACCTTCATAACCCAGCAAGTATACTCAATAAACCCTCCTGATAGCCAGCAAGTACCCATTATAAACTCTACAGATCAAAAGTTATACTCTGTACCACCTTGTATAGCACAGACATCTGAGCAACAAACCTATTTAACACAACCACAAGGTAGTACTTCTTTAACATTGAAGCAAAAGATGTACTTAACACCAAGCTTAGATACACAGTTACGTTCTACTGAACCTTTATTTAGTGTCCAGCATTCAGTGGCTCCATCCCAAGCAGATGTCAGTTTTGGACACCAGCAGCTAAAAACTCAGGTGCAGTCAACTAGTATTACATCTCAGAGGGCAGCAGAAGGACAACTTCAACACCCTGAGCAGATGTCCTTCATTCAGCGGGCCTCTTCACAGTCCCAGATCCAGCCCACTCATTTCTCAGCACAGATTTCCCAATCACATCTAACACCAAGCCAGGTTTCTCACTCAGCTTTCATTCAGCATCAGCAGATGACTCATTCATCTCGTAGACAAGCACAGAAAATCCATCATTTGTCTACTCAAGACGGTTCCATAAATCAACAGCAGTCTTTGTGTAGCCAAAATACTGCTTCTCTACAGCAGAAGGTACCTGATTCACAGACACCTAACCAAATTCAGTCATTACCAGGTATTCCAAAGACCGTTCCAAACATGGTCCAGATTTTACCTTCTTTGCAAGAACAGTTGCAACTGGCGGCAGTGGAACAACAACATGTAATACAGCCTTTAGAGCAGCCTCAAGTGTTTCAGGCATTAGACAATAGTCAAACTTTTCCCCATGGCATCCAGCGACAGTCTGCTGGCCAGCCACAGTGGCAGCCATCTTGTAGCTTAGCAGCCATTTCTGGGTCATCAGAACCACAATTACAACAGCAGACCCTCTATCAAAACTCTGGGATAGCCCTTCCAAATCAGCCGTCTTCTTCTGTTCATCTCCTGACACTTAGCATTCCAATACAGGCTTCCACTGCCTGTCAGAGCATTTCTGTATTACAGACACAGCAGCATTTGCAAGGCCAAGAAATTCCAAAGGTAAATCTTCCTGTGGGGGGAATGTGGATGATTGTGATTTTTTTTCTATAATGTTCAAGAATCAGGGAAGTAGTAGCTATAGTCGAAAAGACACTGAACTGGGTGGGAATCACAGTCCCCATTTCTTGTTCTTTCCTTATTCACTGGGTAACCTTGATTCAGGTCTCCCCTGGGTTTCTTCATCTGTAAGGTGAAGTGAGCAGAACAGGTTATAACAACAACAACAAAAATATATTAGAACACTTACTTGGGATCTATCAGTGAATAAAATACAAGTATCCCTTCTGTCATTGACTTTTGTTCTCTATACGAAAGACACTTAACAACCATTGTAAAAATTAAGTTATATAATACAATATAAGGTTCTCTAGAGAAAGCATAGAGCAGGTTAATTTGGAAAGTGGGTTTCAGGTTTAAAGAAGGTGGCCATCAGAGTAGGCCTCATTGGAAAGGTGTGATATTTGAGCAAATATTGGAAGTAGATGAGGGAGTCAGCAATGCAAATTGGAGGTGCAAAGGCCCTAAGGCAGTAATGTGGGCATGTTTGAAGAACAACAAGGAAGCCAATGTAGCTTTCTAAGATTTCCTGGGCCTAAAATATTAGGAGCCTATGCTTCTCTTCCAGTTCTACATTTATAATAAAGTATTTGCCCATATGAGAAATAATTAAACAATATTGAGTTATTCTTATGTGCCAAACACTATCCTTTTTTGTTTTGTTTTGTTTTGTGGTGCTAGGAATGGAATGCAGGGCCTTGCACATGCTAAGGAAACATTCCACCACTGAGATACATTCCCAGCCACCCAGATAC